TAAATGTTTAATGTGGTCTTGGGCAGCAGATTTGCCCAGGGAAATGCATCTCTCCTGTATGGCTCCTGTGAATATTGACTGGAGATACAAGTGAGATGAAATCCTTGACAACTTCAATCCTATCTCCATTTTCGTGGCAATTTGTTTTGGTCCCATAGTGAGGATTTTAGTTTTCTTTCATCAAGCTGTAATCTATAGTTAAGGCACCAGTCCCTGATCTTAATCTTTAAGTTTTTCAAGTCATACTACCGTATGGCATGCAGCATTATGTAATCTGCGTTCTACAGGTTATTAATGAAGCTTGCTCCAATCTTATTTCCGTGCTCTTCCATATTTAGGACAAGTTATTAGATTATTTTCTCAGCATAGCATGATGTACAGAGAAACCACTGAAGCTTTCAATGATGCCATATTACTGTCATGCACGATAAGCCTCCATTTAAGAAACAAATGAGAAATCACACCACAGATTGCATTGAGCATACATGGTAAAAATTGATTCCTTGAACGAGTTCAAAATTCTTCTAGGGAAACATAGCCAGAGACTCAGTAACCACCTATTCCAAGTAAATATCTCAGAACAAACAACAACACCTCCTGCAAAAAAAAAAACAACAAGATAACCATTAAAAAACAGAGAAGAATTAAAGCCTAAGTTTTGCGTTTCAGACATTTTGGAGGTAGCAAGCTTGTTCAAGTAGCCCGAAAAAAATGACAATTTCTAGGTGGTGCAAGAAAAGTCCATGCTGTACAATCCCTCACCCAGCACTCTTTTCCTCCGGACTGAAAGAGGGAGTGGGGTGTTCTGTCCTCCATCCCCACATGCTGTGGAGGACAGTGGAGCCACTTCCTCTCCTGTTCCCTGAGAGAGAGTTCCCTCAGGAAGACGGCAAACCTAGATGAACATAGCATGAGAAAGGTTTTGATTAGTTAAATCACCGCATCTCTGTTGTTGTTTGGGGACATTCAGTCTGTTCCTACTCATAGAGACCCTATGTACAACTGAAGAAATGCTGCCTGCTTGTGCACCGTCCTCTCAATTGTTCTTATATTTGATGCCATTGTTGCAGCCTCTATGTCAATCCATCTTGTTAAGGGTCTTCTTTTTCACTGACCTTGTACTGTAACAGGAATGATGTCCTTCTTGAAGGACTGGTCTCTTCTGACAACTTGTCCAAAATATGGGAGATGAAATCTCACCAACCTCGCCTCTAAGGAGCATTCTGGCTGTACTACTTCCAAGATAGCCCTGGAGTTTTTAAATGGGTAAGCCACACATCGGTTCCCTGTTAAAGAGGGAAGGTTTACATTGACCTGGGGTCTTGCTGTGACATTCATCTGGGATGAAGATGAAAGCTCCAATCTCTCCACTGCGACAGAGATGGATAACTTGGGGGCAGTTTGAATGTCTCAGGCATTCATTTCTTCCTTCTTTCAAGACAAAATTTTTAGAAGGCACCATTTTTGTCATTTGCTTCCATCCCCTGGCAACTATAGAATCCAATCTGAGACTGGGGCTCTGAAGGGAGTTAGGGACCATCTTTAGTTTGTTATCAATCCTTTCTCTGAATAAATTTCAACGTGCAATAGCTACAACACTTGAACTTTCCACAGCTACAACTAGTGCAAAGGAAATACTATCAAGTCCATTTCCATATGACCAGCAAAAGAGACAGTTACAGACACGTGAGATTTTCCACATTAGAGTTCCTCATGATGGAGTTCAGAAGAATGATGTTCAGCTGTTTTAAACAAATGTAGGAATGCTTCCAATACAGCTACATAAAAACAAAAACAAAAAAAGGAGATATAAGAAAAAAATTTAAATATCTAACAGAATGGATAAAATTTAGGAATAATTCAACAACTCCGAAAACAAATACAAAAGAGAAACACTAAATAGCTGAAATAAATAAGTCTGAAATATGAGAGTAGTAAAATTGAAACAATGGTAACCTGAATCAATGAGCTTAGACAAATTTCTTGAAACTAAATTAAAAGAACTATCTATTTTTTAAAATCCTAATAAAATATAAGAACTTTGCGAGACACTATTAAATGGAACAATTTATGTTGATGAACACCTTGAAGAGAATGAGAATGAAAGGACACAAAGGATATATAGTACAGGAAAATGATTTTTTAAAAGAAAATAAATCTGTTTGATAACTCAGGGGCACGTGGTATAGTCAATGGCCTCATATAGCCCACAGGAGAGCTGGGCAATGAGAACCTAAGAAATCCTAGAAAAGATCAATGGATTAAAAGTATGGACTGTGAGAACAACAGTAACATTCCATACCTGTGAGAATGACAACGACATATCTGTTTGGAAGGAAGTATACTCAGAATGTTCTTTAGAAGCCAGAATGGGGAGGTGTCCTGCCATATACTCTGCATATGTAATCAGGAGTGCCGGTCCCTGGAGAAACATGTGCTTTCTTAGTGGGATTTCTGAAACAGAAATGTTTGAAGAAAACAAACAACCCTCCACTGTATGATTCACACGATCTCTGTAAGAATGGGTTCAAACAGAAGAAAGGTTGAGGGAATACCATAGATCAGGACGTGTTCTGTAACGTCAGAATGAGCTAAATCCAACTGTACATCATCTAACAATGATGGCACAAATTAGTAATGTGAGTTAATTTATTTTTGTCTGTGTTTCTTAGCAACTTGAATGTATTCTTTGGTGAAGTATGTAGTCATGTTCTTCGTCCATGTTGAGTCTCAAAACTGTACCACATGTTCGGTCCCAACCGATGTTAAGTGAGATGTTAGGATAAAAAAGAGGAGTGACCTCCCCAGAGAATTTGCTGAGAAATGCGAAAACAGGGTAGAATCAATGTCCACTATCACTCATGGTTTCTAATGAAATCACATTTTATTTACACTGTCTATGCTCACTGTGGACCAACGGTTTCTCTTATCTTCAGCTTAAGGCTCTTGATTGCCAATAAATGAAGACCCCAGGGAAGAGGAGGGTATTAGACTGGACACTTCTCTACTTCCCCCATGCTATCCCCAGGGCTTCACACATCAGCCCTCTTATCCAAGTTCCAAGTTAAATCTCAAAAGTCAAGGAAAAATTATGTGGTGGGCAGAGTTCTCTAGCCTCCAGAGACCTTGTCCAAAGCTCTTGTTTTCACTTTGAACATTCTTCAGCCTGGAGGTTACTTCTCTCCAGTAGTGTCATGTGATTCTAACAGTGGGCTGACATTAAAGAGATTCCCATTATTTGTCAGTATTGGTTGCTTTCCTCCCTATAAATTGTCCTCTGACAGGTACAGCATTAGGATTTGAGCTCAGGAATGATGGAGTATCCTTAAGGGTGGCAATCTCTGGTGACTGTGTACTTCCAGAGCTGGATCTGCCAAAAGCTGCAGACGAGGCTGGAAAAGCTGTTAACAGTATGTTTTTGTAGCAGAAAACAATCTCCCATATCAAAGGAATTGACTCTCAAGCTCAAAAAATGTCCAGAGAACAGTTATCTTGCAGATGACTGAATGACCACTGAGGGAGCTGCTGTCCATTACTGCATGAGACAGACAGTCAGAGGACCCAGTGCCATCCCACACACAAATTTCACTGCAAGAATGGGTTGTACAAAGCACAGGGACAGGTTTATCAGACAAGGGCAATAATGGTGTCATGGGAGCAAAGAGCTTCCTCTTTGGTTCTAGAGTTTCCTTCCCTCTAAAATCTTTTCTCAATGGATATATGCCATCTTAGTATTTATGACAAACTGCAATGTACTTTATAATATGCATTCATTTATACATTTTATGAATATACCCAATTACACGAGTTCTGGTGGTGTAGTGGTTACTTACTTGGCTGAAAAACAGAAGGTCAGCAGTTTGAAATCACCAGTGGCTCCACAGGAAAAAGAATGGGCTTTCTGCTCCCATAAAGAGTTACAGTTTCAGAAACACTCAGGCGCAGTTCTCCCCTGTCCTACAGGGTAGCTCTGAGTCTGCATTGACTCGATGGGTGTGAATGTGAGTGAGTGATGCCCACATTGATATGTATGCCTGACAGCTCTGACATGAATTTAATGATTGTACATCCTGCAGGGCTGTATTGGGCTGAATGAAAATGAAAACACAACATGATAGCCTGTGGGATTCAACCAAAGAGAACGTAGTGGGGAAGTCATAGCCACAAACTTCTGTGTAATATAGAAATACAGCTCTGACATTAATTACCTCAGTTTCCATTTAATGAAACTAGAAAAAAGGATGGGCATGCATCAGCATAGGTAGCAGGGGGAAATAAATAAGTATAAGAACTCAGATACATGAAATTGAAAGACCACAATTCATAAGCTGATTAAATGAAGACAGACTCTGTGAGAAGACAAAGGAAGGTGACAAACATCCACTTTCCTGATTAGGGCAAAAGAGGGAGGACCCGAACCTCCCACATTGGAAACCAGACAGGAGACTCCACTTCATATATATTCTTCTTCTTTTTTTATTTCACATATTTTATGGACAACTTCATGCCCACAGTATAAACATATCACTTCAATGGAGAAATTCCTTGGAAGGCAGAAAAAAATGTTTTCATGAAAGAAATAAATCTTAGAATCGTCCATTATCATTACATGTACCCACACCTTAAATGGGAAGAGGGGATGCATTGTGAGCTGTCATATCACAAAGTTGTTGTGTATGTAATATAGAGATTATAAACAGAAAACTACTTTTTAAAAATTATTGATAATATGTAGCAACTAATGAAATGCTTGATAAACAACCTGTTTAAAAACTTTGTTTTCCCTTGAGAGTGCTTGTGTTTCTGGAGCCTGACGGAGAACTCTTGCCCATATTCTCTATTCCTCTGCTTCTAAATGTCAGGGGACATGCAAATGCAGCTCTCTGCCTGCTGATAAACCTGCCACAACCCCTGATGTGGGAGATCTCAGAGGACAGTCCCAGTCTCTGGGGTCTCTGCTGTTTACACTTTGTGACCAGGAGCTAATCCAGAGACACATAATGAATATTGTGCCAAACTTGGCTTTCGTTTTGGCCATTTTACATGGTAATCGTTGTAGACCGTGCTGTGTATGTATGTAATTGTGAGTGTATTTGTTTGTATGTGTGTCGCCTAATGACGATGCCTCTGTGTTTGCAGGTGTCCAGTGTGAGGTGCAGCTGGTGGAGTCTGGGGGCGATCTGAGAAAGCCTGGAGGGTCTCTGAGACTCTCCTGTGCAGCCTCTGGATTCACCTTCAGTAACTCTGTCATGCACTGGGTCCGCCAGGCTCCAGGGAAGGGCCTGCAGTGGGTCGCATACATTAGTGGTGATGGTAGTTACATAAAGTACACTGACTCCGTGAAGGGTCTGTTCACCATCTCCAGAGACAACTCCAAGAACACCCTCTATCTTCAAATGAACAGCTTGAAAACCGAGAACACGACCACGTATTACTGTGCAAGTGACACAGTGTGGGGAAGTCAGTGAGAGCCCAGACAAAAACCTCCCGTGCAGGGAGGACATTGGTCTCCAGGGGGCGCTCGCGACCCACAGAGCACAGGACTCAGACCCAGGAGCAGGTGGAGCTGGAGCTTCATGGCTGGTTTCCGGTGGGGATCTGTGGATTCTTCTAAATCTCTGTTTCCCTAGGGACTCTCTCTCTAATTTGAAAATGTCAATTCTGTGCCTACTCCTGGTATCTGTGAATTCAAAAATTATATTGTAACGGGAGTATATAGTCTGACTTACAGAAAAAAACAGCCTGTCCCTGAAGGACAGGAAATGACCCTGCCAGGCATTGCCTGTATCAGAGTTCTCATGAAGTTCAAGTAAATACATTCAAAGTAGATTGTCTTTTCTGGAATCCTATCTGAAAATACATATACTCATAAATTTTATTTTATTATCTGGGTGCTAATATTTTGTATCTGTCTCTATTTCAGAACCTTCAGCTCATGTTGGTCAAGACAGACACTAAATTATCTGTGTAAATTCAGGATTCAGGGAGATCTCTAGGACCAAATGAGATCATTCAGTTCTTCATGTCAGATATTATATCTTCCCCTTCACAATCCCACAGAATGTCAGCCCACTGAGTCTGGATTCAGCTAGAGGGTCGAAATATTTACTGTTAATAAAGTCAGCCTACTTCTGGTGGCTTTGCTGCTAATTTATTGTAGGATATCAGTCACATTCCCAGTATCTAGGGACACACAACCTTAAGTGAACAATTTCACATATTTCAGTATAAGATATTATATAAAATTTATGATTAAATAGAAATAACATTTTGTATGATGAAATTGTGTATACGAAACATCTTCCCATAAATTGCTTTAGGGTGACATGTACTCTTCCCACACTACAGTGACTCTTGAGTAGACATAGCAGTGTAGTTGTTAAACAAAAGCTCTTCCTTTTTGTGACATACAAAAGCCATTCCTGTTTCCAGAAAACATTGATATGTAGACTCTTTGGGTTAAGTCAATGAGATTGCTAGATTTAGGTGATCTTCAAACATCTAAATCTCTAATAATGCTACTTCTAAATATCTAATAATCTAATTCACAAAAGAAAATGTGTATCTGACGATAAAAATGTGCTTGAATTTGCTGTGAGTACCTTATAAATATACACGTTGCTGAGTGTAAAAGATCATTGCCTTTATTCCTAAAGTCATCCTCAATCCTGAGCCATGTCCACCTCCTCAACCATCTTCCTCATCACTTTCTGTATCCTGGATAAACTGGACCTTGTCCTTGGTGAATAGAGACGTCATTGACAGGACTGTATTCTCTGAGGAAATAGTCAACATTTTCATCCCAGATAAACCCCTTTTAAATTTTATGACAAAGGTACCTCTCAGTATCAGTGCACCAGATTGAGTCTCATGGTGTATTATTTAATTTAATTTTTACTCACTCTGGATATCATACTTGGAATTATGGGACTTATTCCTATGAATGTGTACGTTTCTTCCTCTTCCTTGGGGCAGCTCTCTGAGGTGAGTAGCTCAGGTATTGCAAAGTGAAGTTTTGGGAATGCTTTATCTTATCACATATCTCAGGTATGTATCTCCAAGTGTCTGAATCTCCAGGTACAGCTGCAGAGGTTGGACCAGGGTTTGTAAAACTCACATCCATTGTGTGCACCCCACCCCATTCTGTCTCTAGATCTTCTTAAATCAGCTATGAGTCTGGATGCTATGGAGTGGTGAGAGCACAGACAATGCTCCTACTCTGATGTCCTCAGTGCACATCTCCAGTGACCCCCTTTAGAGTCAAATTCATTAAAGGCTGAGCCCCATTGCTGCGCAGGCCACTGCCATGCATTACTGTGAAAGGAGGCCGGGAGAAGGCAGTGTGACTCCAGAACTCCAGGGGAAGAAAGGGGTCTGAGCTGCACTCTGCTCCATTGTCTTCCTGTCTGTGTATTCTTTGTTTTCCTTGAACATATATTGCATTACTTTCTAGGAGAGTTCTTTATTGTTCTATTATAATTGTCTCAAAAAATAAATCCTCACTTTTTGTTGTTCTTTTTATTAGGTCATCGTCTGTGTGACCTTGTTTATGATACTATTTGTAACACACTTGATGGCACTTTCCTTGATATTTGGTTGCATAATCATCACATTTAGTTTGAGTTTCATATTTAACTTCATGTTACCCATCTCTGTGTCGAGTGTGAATCTCATTTGATGTTGTATCAGCTATGACCTTTTTCTTACTCTTTTATATTACCCATAGCTATTGTTGTGGATCGATGGGCATATTCAATATGACCATACACACCATTATATTGTATCATGTACGATGTTTTCCCTGGCGGATTTTTGTGCTAGAATTTTATGTTCAGAGTTTATGAAAATATAGTCAAGCAGCTCCATATGTATTTAATTATATGCAATGTCCATCACAGGTAAAATTTGTTTTTACTAAAAATACCAAATGTCTCAGATTCCTCCATATGACCTCATTTTTAGTTTTATGCTTGGTTTTGTCTTAACTTGCATTCTCCCTGGAGAGAATCTCGATTTTAAATTCCCTGATGCACGCTGCTGTTATTTTTACTTGACGATGGTCACTATCTTGGCACGAATTGGGCCACGGGGCATTTCTTTGGTGTTTTGATGGAACCTCATTCTTAGGTAGGCATCCGGAACCTGAATCTGAGATATGGCTTTCTACCTTTTCCTTTCCTCCTGAAAAGGCACTGGGCTAACAGCTATGCCTGCCCTTTCTCGTGGGACAGAGCACCTTTTCTTCCAAGTTGTTCATTCCTTTTCTAAAGAAGGTTTTCCCCAGTACCTTCAGCTAAAGAATTTTCTGTTCTTCCTTTTCAAATTCAAGATGTCATGCCTAAACAAAGCAAAGAGGGGTGGTTCTGGGCATTATTTCAAACTGGTTCTGACTTGTGCCTTTTAGGTATATATATTTTATGAATTTCTACCTCGCTTTCAATTATTTTGCTCTGCTCATGGTAAGTGGGGATGCATTTGGGCGGTGACTACTCTCCTGCTACCCTAGCCACCATCAAGGGAAGAGAAGGAAATCTATTACTGTTTATTATCTACATCTTAAGGGAATGTTCTTCAATAAAACAAGTATTATCTAAAGTATGGGGTTCTGGGAGATCCTATTCACTTTAACACAGGAAACATTAAATTATATATTAAATGTTTCTCACTAACCTTGATACAGTTTAAATGTCAAACGTGACATCAATTCCAGCGAAGTTAAGACCATGGTCTTTTTCCTTCCTAATGGAAACTCTGTCTCTCAAACTACGATATTTGTTGTTGTTTTTAATGTTAATGAGTTTACAATTGTGTTCAAGACAAGTTTACAGAGTGGCCATGTTTGTTATTGTGATGAGTGATAATAAGAATGTGACTGCCTTTTTTCTTCTCTCTTTTTGTTTTCCAACCTGAATAGTAGTTTTCATAATAAAAAACAGAAACTAGTAACAACCCAAATGTCCAAAAATGAATGGATAGATAAATGAGTTGTGGTACACACATGTTCATTCTCTAAGATATTGTGCATTAAAATCAATTCATGCTGGCTAGATATACATTTATTGGACTATTCCCACATAAATATGTTGAGTGAAATAAGCTCAGCAATAAGCATGCATACCGTCTTTAAACATTTATACATAAATAACTTATGGTATAGGAAATAATATGAACCGGACTGTGTTTTGTGTATCACAATCACATAACAAGAAATTATTCTCAAATATTATTCCCATCAAATCCTACTAGAACAATCATTTATGTGTGCCTACCACAGTGCCATTCAGGAGGTATCCAACCCTAGATGTCGCTCTATAATAGGAGGATATATAAATGGATCCCATCCATCTGCTGATGTAAATAATCCAAGCCCCAAACATACAATCTGGGAGAAGATCCTCAGTCCCTTAGTCTCCAGGTGTCTCCATTCAGCAATCTGTAAGAACACAGTCCTCATGGAGTCTGTGCTGAACTAGGTTTTTTCGGGCAGCAATTTTGACAAGTAATTTTATTAAGAACAAGTGTGTGTGAGCAGTTATGAATGTGAGCCAGTGGATATGTGTGATGGTTTTCATGAGCAGCATATACTGTGCTTGCAACTGTCATGTGTACATGCAACTGGTTGAGTCTGAAGGAAATTTGAGGGAGAATAAGGTGTCTTTGAGATTCTACTGTCCAAACTCAGGATTCGCTTTTACTAGTTCTGCCATGGCCTGTATCAGCCATGCTCCACGCCTACAGTGGGTCTTATATATTAGTATGGTCGCTATCACATATGACACAGATTCTGTGAAGGCTGAAGTACCATCTCCAGAAACATTGCCAAGATTTGTGCATATTATTCTCTCTGCAGGTCTATCTAGATAAGATAGGTGGGACAAACAATCTGGAGGAGAAAACAACGGGACTTATGTTTCTGGGGAACATAGGGGCAGCGGGAGTTAGGGGAAAGGAAGTGGGTATTAACAAACACAGGAACAAGGGAATAACAAGTGATCTAAAATCGATGGCAAGGAGGATGTAAGATGCCTGGTAGGTCTTCATCAAATGCAATGTAATGGAGAGTAATTACTGAAACTCAAATGAAGGCTGAACATGATAGTGGGATGAGAGGAAAGTAAAATGAAATAGAAGAAAGAATTAGGAGGCAAAGAATATTTATGGAGTTCTAAACACAGACGTTTACATATGTAAATATATTTATATATGACAATGGGGAAGTAGATCTATGTACATATATTTATTGGTTTAGTATTAAGGTAGCAGAGACACATTAGGCCTCAACTCAAGTACTCCCTGAACGCAAGAACATTTTGTTCTATTCACCGGGCATTCCATGATGTGTACCTTCCCGATATGATCGCTGAAGACAAAGCTGCCACATAAACAAATGTGGTGAAGAAAGCTGATGGTGCCTGGTTAACAAAAGATATAGCATCTGGGGTATTAAAGGCTTGAAGGTAAGCAAGCG